CTGTGCCAATCTATCTAAGGTTCTCATAATTCTGAACATGCTAAATGGAAATGGAAATGGAAATATTGTGGACTGAATGAATCAGAGGCTCCCATGGCAGGTGTGGAGAAACAAGAAAGTCGGGCAAGGGGGGGCGGGGGGGGAGATCTGGGTGGGAAGAGACCCAATAAAGAATAATCTCCTAAAAACCCCAGAGCCAAGAAAAGTGATAATTGTCTTCAGAAGTAATAGTCTCTGGCCTATATGAGAAAAGTATTGCTTTCTCTCCTGTTGAGAAAAAAGGATGACTTTCCCAGGTAGTTAGAAAAAGTCAATATTTGAAAACACGCTGCCTTCCGGAGGGAGGGGGTGCCTGGGAAACTGAATTTTAGAAGTGCACAGGGTCATCTAGACTAGAGCAAAGGTGTCCAGGCTTTAAGACCTGTGGACTTCAACTCCCAGAATTCCCCAGTTAGCAAAATTCTGGGAATTGAAGTCCACAAGTCTTAAAGTTGCCAGACTTGGAAAACTCTGATCTAGAGGGAGAGAAGTGGATGGACTTCAGGACCATGGACAGCACAACGTGACCCTATGGCAGCTGTCAAGTTTTTTTTTAAGAAAGCCTATAGATCAGTGGTTCTCAACCTGTGGGTCGGGACCTCATTTGGGGTCGATCGACCATTTCACGGGGGTCGCCAAGCAAGGCTGTCCGCCATTTTTTTGTCCGCCATTTTTCCCCCTTTTCCGGCAGGTGCCTTACCTCCCTTCGGCTGGGCCAGCTGGTGGTCGGCCTGCTCCGTCTCTGCCGCTTGCCAGCTATGCCTCGGCCGGCACAGGGGGCGGAACCACGCATGCGCAGCGCTCCCGGGCAGGGAAAGTCCTCGACTTACGACCGGTTGGGTAGTCCTTGACTTATGACCGGTTTAGTCCTCGACTTATGACCGGTTTAGTCCTCGACTTACGACCGGTTTAGTCCTCGACTTACGACCGGTTGGGGTCGCGGCATTAAAAAGGTTGAGAACCATTGCTATAGATGGTTTTCTAAGACTCCATCTGGCCACCTGAGAGTCAAATTTTGAAAAACAATTGGTTTGAGTTATGGAAAGTCAATCGGAGACTGCATCTTCAGAGGGTCTGGGATTCATGTCAAGTAATCAAGGGGCAAAGTTAACCCATCAGTCCAGGGGAGACGACACAGAAGGTAGCCCTCAAGGATGGGCCTCGGAAGACCCATGGACCCGATCCATCTCCATCTCCACTGCTTGAGCTTCTTTTCTTGGGGACTCCTGACCTTGAGCGTGCCAAACACAACCCCCTGCAGGGTCCCCAGGGTGAATTTAATGGATAATTACGGGCATGAGGTTCTTTGAAGGCTTGTTCTGGATTCTTCCAGAACCTTCTGTGGCTCCTGCTTCCCTTCTGCTTATTCAGCACCCCAAAGCTTGTCAGAGCCCCCCCCCAATCTTCTCCGTCTATTGATGGAGCAATCTCACGGACGAGAACAAATGTTGCCAGATGCCAGCTATGCTCAGAGGAGCTGGTTATTTTTAACACACACAAATGCACGAAAACACAGACATGCACACCAACACAGCGATATATCAACAGTCCAGGTCATTTAAGGATAGGATAGTAATCAATGGCTTAATTTGTGCCCAAAGGAATAACAGTTCTCTGTGGTTGTGGTTGCTAACTATTGCTACTCACAAGATGTTTATGGATTGGGCAGGGGGGGTATCCTCTGGGTGGCTTTTACAATTAGCTCTTAAACCACCTTCCCTGTTTGAATTGCCTGAAGAAAACAAAGCTCCTGAGTCTAAAATTCTGGCTGGAGAGAATTAATTTTCCATCAGTTCTCACCCGAGGTCAAAGGGCCCCTGTTATTTCTGCGCCTTGCTGTGTTCCTCCATTCCGGCCTTTGCTGTTCCAAAGACAGCTGCCTATTTCCCACACTGCCGTGTGTGTCTTATTTGCTGGACGGGGTGCGTGTCAACACCTCTCTTTCTCTCCGGATAAGGGTGTTGCTGTTTTCAGTCCTCTTTCTCTCCCAGATGCATGCAAACACAAGACTTTGGGGCCAACAAGGGATGCGTAAAATCACCTCCCGCTGGGGAAGGGTCCTGAAAGGGCTGCAGAAAACTTCCTTGCTCCCAAAAACTTGCAAAAAAAGTTTACAAAGCTTCTGGAGAAAGCCTGCAGGGCGTTCTGGCGCCCCGTAGTGGCAGGAGAGGGAAATGGCTGGAGGAGTCACTGCCGTGATGCCATCTGGTTTAGCAGAATAACAGAGTGGGAAGGGACCTTGGAGGTCTTCTAGTCCAACCCCCTACTTAAGCAGGAGACTCTATACCATTCTGGAAAAATGTATGTCCAACCTCTTCTTGAAGACCTCCACCCACGACTTCTGAAGGGAAGCAGTTCCACGGATTAATTGTTCTCACTGTCAGGAAATTCCTCCTTAGTTCTAGATTGATTCTCTCTTTGATCCGTTGCTTCTTGTCCTGCCTTTAGGCGCTTCAGAAAATAGGTTGACCCCCCCCCCCTCTTCTTTGTGGCAGCCCCTCAAATACTGGACCACTGCTTCTCAAGCCTTTTGTTTGCATGAGTATAAAAATGATTTTTAAGTTTTGAATCTTGAGTCACATAGACAGACAAGTATGCAGCAGAACAGAATAACCGAATTGGGAGGGTCTTTGGAGGTTAGGGTTAGGGCTTAAAGTTACCAAGGCTGGACACTCCTGCTTTAAAGAAACCCCCCGTTTCTGTATCTCTCTCCTGCCAGCTCTCTCCTGATGCAATCCCATTTCATAGGGCGGCATGGAAGAGATCCTCTCCATCACGGCTTAAAAATTAACTTTATTCTCCACTGCTGCCAATTCAGAGGTTTGGCTCACTGTTTCCCTTCTTCAAAGGCAAGAAACAGGGCAAGAAACTCCGTTTATTGCTATGGCAAGGAGGAGGACTGTGCCAAGGCACCCTGGCTTTTTGGAACTTGCCAAGACATGAGAGTCTGAGCTGTTTTTGGGTGCCAGTTCTTGCTCACAAACAATGGGGAGACGAGGAAGGGAACCCCAGAAGGTTGTGTCAGTGTGTGCATTTGGAAATGAATGGACCACGTGATGCCTTTGCAGGGAGCACTATGTGGGTGTCTTTATCTTGCAAAAATAAGATAATTGAGCAACAGCTGGCAGGGAATAAGAGTAAAGACATTTGCATGACAGATTTGCTAAGAATTCAGTGAACACATTTGTAAATAGTGCCTTTAACTGTAAATGACAAAGACCAGGATTCAATCACGTATTTTTTTAGAAGATTTTTTAAAAAATAATTTATTATTTTTGTAAGTAACTCAAAGTGGCTAACATACCTAATGCTCCTTCCCCTTCCTATTTTCTCCACAACATCCCTGTGAGGTGGGTTCGGCTGAGAGAGAGGGACTGGCCCAAAGTCACCCAGCCGGCTTTCATTGCAGAACTAGAACTCCTAATCTCCTGCCTGTGCCTTGACCACTAAACCAAACTGGCTTTCATTTTATCTGCGCAATGATGCAGACAGTTTATAATAAACAGTCTACTGATCATCCTCTGTACCCATTTTACAGATTGGGACTTACTTTCCCTGAGACAATGGTTTGCCCAAGATCATCCAAGACGGGGGAGCAATTTGAACCCTAAAAATGTCCACCCACCTCAGATCTATTCCTGGGGATTCAAAATCAGAAACTCTCAGAGAGTGGGAGCAATACACTCCAGGCATGCCCTGGAGACCCTTTGCTTTTCTTCTGAGTGTGGCAAGACCAGCCTTCCCCCTCTCCCCCCAAACCCAGGAAAGAAATCCCAATAGAACTTTCTAGATGCCAAGAGTCCCCAAAGCTATTATCCTGCGGAGATGGAAGCCAACATTCCTTGGTAATAAAACCTTGGATCTGTTGCGGCTCCTGCAGAGAGAGAAAAACCACATTTCTCCTGCAGGGACAGAAGTTTCTCCTGATAAGACCCCCCCCCCTCTATTTTTTTCCTTCTGGAGAGTCGTCCTCCCACCTCCAAGGAACCCAAATGGCTTGGAACTTGGAGAATTTCTTCGGGAGAAAGTGACCTTAGAGGGGTTTCCTGCAAATCACCCGACTTTCAGAACAAGATTTGCTTGCCTCACTGTCTCATTTTCTCTATTCTGCACCCCCACCTTTAAATGGAAGACCCCCCACCCAGTTCGGAGTGAAGACCCTCCTATAGTCCCCTTTCTTCCGTGGTCTTTCTTGTTGTTTCCATGCCTCTCCTGGCTGGAAAGCGCGCGGTGGATCGAGTCCTTCTCACCTCGACCAAGAATTCGGATGAGTGAGTGAGGGCCAAAAGGCGCTTCTTCGGAAGAGGAGAGCCACTCGCCTCCCCCCTGCCCAAGCCCCCTCCTGCGCTCCATTCAGACCGCGGAGGCTCACTCCGTTTCTCTCCAAGCAGCTTTTCCCCCAACTTGGCGCCCTCCCAACAGCGGGACTACAACTCCCATTCGCCGCCTGTGGGCCATGGAGGGTGGGCGAGTGAGGCAGAGGAGGCTGCCTTATTGAGCGGCTCCCTTCGCCGCCCCTCCGCAGGGCCAAAAGATCGCGCGCTCTGGGGCACCGCGCAAACCAAGTCGCCCAAAAATGGCACACTTTTGAGGCGCTCGCAGCCGGCCCAGCTCCCCACAAAGTGTCCCAACGGATCGGGCTGGGTCGGCACCCGCGGCCGCCTGCGCCCCTGCCCGTACCCGGAGACCTCAACGCCGGCGAGCGCACAAGGAGCGTCTGGCCGGCCAGCTCTGCGCTCCGAACTGGGCAGGCAGGCAAGCGGCGCAAGCCGGCCCCCGCTGGCTGTTTTGCGCCGCCTCCGAGGGGGCGGCGGCTCTGCGGCCGCTATAAAGGCGGGCGCGGCGCCTCGGACGGGCAGAGTCGAGCCGACCCATCTAGCTTGCGCGCATCTCCTCCGCAGCCTCCTCCCAGCCAGCTCTTAGCGCGCCTTTACGCCTCCGCTGTTGCGCCGATCCTTCCAATGCGCCTGGCGGAGATGATCAAGAAGATGGGCCCCGGCGAGGTGGAGTTCAACATCCCGGCCAAGAACTGCTACCGGATGGTGGTGCTGGGCTCGTCCAAGGTGGGCAAGACGGCCATCGTCTCGCGCTTCCTCAGCGGCCGCTTCGAGGACCAGTACACGCCCACCATCGAGGACTTCCACCGCAAGGTCTACAGCATCCGCGGGGAGGTCTACCAGCTGGACATCCTGGACACGTCCGGCAACCACCCCTTCCCGGCCATGCGGCGCCTCTCCATCCTCACAGGTGAGACGGCGGGCGCGCGGCTCTGTGTCTGCGCGGGGATCAAGGGCCCGGAGCCCGGGATAGGGCTCGGAGGCAGTCCGGGGAAGGCGCTGTCCTTTGGGCTCTGCTCCCCCCCCAAGCAGTCTGAATGGGACTGCGAGAGAGAGAAAGAGAGAGAGAAATACAGAGAGGAGAGAGAAAGAGATAGAAAGAGAGAGAGAGATGGAAAGAGAGATAGAAAGAGATGGAAAGAGAGAAAGATGAAAAGAGAAAGAGAGAGAAATGGAGAGAGAGAGAGAGAAAGAGATGGAGAGAAAAAGAGAAAGAGATGGAAAGAGATGGAAAGAGAGAAAAGAGATCAACGTTTCTCAACTTTAAGATAGGTGGACTTCAATTCTCAGAATTGTGGTGTTTGGCCACGCGCACTTCTTACAAAACTTGTAGGAGGAATTGTTTGTCTGGAGTATCCCTCCCGGAGTCCCCCCTTCCCGCCCCTGGTAGCTCCTCAACTCTTCGTCATTTGCAAGCGGGCGCCCCCGTGCCCCTCTCTGCCACTTTGCGCGGTTCGCAAGTTCTGCCTGGCTTCGGAACCCGCCTGGTTGGAGCCAGGGACGGGAAGAGGGGAAGTAGAGAAAGGAAAATCTATACCCTGCAGATAAAAAGAAAAGATTATTCCCCCAACGTCGATTAATTCACTCGATATTTCCCCGGTTCTGTTCTGTGCTCCGTCTCTCTTTGAAACGGCTGCAGCTGGAACCCCCACACCCCCTGGCAAGTTTAATGGGGGAGAGAAAAGTCGAGATCGCCGCTCCCACAGTCCTTGCAAGTTGAGACTTTATAAATCTGAGCTTTCAGTCTCGGCTTTACAGCCTATTGATAAGGAGCTTCATTGAAGCGCCTTTGGCAATCTGATAATTCTGGAGTTGAAAAGAAAAGGAAAACAAAGGACACTTTTTGCAGAAAGCCGAAGCTGATAAGAAAAGGAGTGGCCTCTTTATGGATGCCCATCCCGTCTCTTCTAAATAAGGCCTCTGGGATGCTACAACATGCATTTTTATGGCAACTGCAGCAATATAGACAGGGTGCTGCATTTATGACCTGTAGTGAACTTTTTTGGCTAATTGAGGTTAGGATTTAATTTTTAATATATATTTATATAGGCAGAATATATATATATAGTTCTGGAATATGTATTGTATTCCTCTCGTTTATTGCTGTTCTTTGTCTAGCACTGCATGCATCCAGTAGTGAAATTTTGAACCTTAGTTCCTAACCTTCTTCCTCTCTGCTCCTTCTCCTGCAGGAGACGTTTTCATCCTCGTCTTCAGTCTGGACAACCGGGACTCCTTCGAGGAAGTCCAGCGTCTGAAGCAGCAGATTCTGGAAACCAAGTCTTGCCTGAAAAACAAGACCAAGGAGAACATTGAGGTTCCTCTGGTTATTTGCGGGAACAAAGGCGACCGGGACTTCTACCGGGAGGTGGAACCCCGAGAAATTGAGCAACTGTTGGGCCAGGACTCCAAAAAGTGTCCTTATTTTGAGATCTCTGCCAAGAAGAACAGCAGTTTGGATGAGATGTTCCAGGCGCTCTTCACCATGGCCAAACTGCCCAACGAAATGAGCCCAGATTTGCATCGCAAAGTCTCTGTGCAGTACTGTGACCTGTTGCACAAGAAGACCCTCAAGGGCAAAAAGCTCCTGAAGGACAGCTCTGGGGAAGGGGCCGGGGATGCCTACGGCATCGTGGCCCCCTTCGCTCGCAGGCCCAGCGTCCACAGCGACCTCATGTACATCCGGGAGAAGGCCATCCGAGGCGGACAGGCTAAGGACAAAGAACGCTGCGTGATCAGCTAAAGGCTCTTCTCTCTGGTCTTCGGACTTCCCTGACCAAGGGGGACCAAGAAGCTCTTTGGTAGCCAAACTCTGCCAGCCCGTCTGGGAGGCACGCAAGCCTCGGGCTGTGGAACATGGGGCCTCCTCACTCTTCACGGGGAACCCTTGACTGTTTTCCTTTTAGCAGGGGTTGGAGGCGAGGCTGGACCGTCCAGCTAGGACCCGGAACTTGAGAAAAGACATTGAAGACTCAGTGGTGGGAAGGAGGCCTTCTGTGAAGACCCTCTGACTACGTTTGTGGTCAAAAGACTGGGGGGGAAACGGGAGGGGGGATTTGGTTGCCTGGGAGGCAGCCGCTAGCTGAACTCCACGACTTTCTCATGGCTGTGTCTGTGATGCTTTCGGTGTGTTGCCTCTGAGCATGTTGAAAAGTTTTAATTTGCTGCTACTGCTGCTGACAATTGTCCATGGCTTGTCCCCTTCTCCCCCTTCACCCCCATTGTGTGGGAGCACAGAAGGAGGGGAGACTGGTGGGGAAGCTGTTGGAAAAGTGATCCTGTTTACAGCCCTCCTCCTTTTTCATGGACGTTTGTTGACAAACGAGCAAACCAACCTACAACCTACAACCGCATTGCATTAAAGCCAACAGGCACTTTATATACATATGTAGAATTATCGGGTTGATTGTCAAGATTGGCAACTTGTTTTTACGATGTTTGACACTGGTTCTTTGTTATATTTGGGTGAGGTTTTTTCTATGAAATAAAACTTTTGAAAAATACAACAACTTTGGTATTGACTTCTTTGATGGGGTGAGGGAAACGGGGGGGGGGAGCATATTGGCACAAGTATCTGTTGGACAGTGTTGAGTTTTTGGGGTTGGGTGACAGGTCTACGCAGCAGGTTTCCTGAGGTCCCACCAGCAACTGTGCCTGGTGTCTTGAAGATGCCTGATTGAAGCTGGAGATGTTAAGAAGGAGTGCTGAACTAGGATTGTGGAGACCCCTGTCCAAAGCCACCCTTAGCCTTGGAGACCCCTGGCGGACTATGGGCCAGCCTTTTATTCAGCCTGGCCAACCTTACTAAGTTGTAGTTGAGGTAAAAGGAAGTCCTCACAGAAGCCAAGGAAGACCTCTTGAAAGACATCCAAATTTGACAACCTGACGTGGTGTGGACTTCAACTCACAGAATTTCCAGCCAGCATGAATCACATGAAAAGATTTCTCCGTGTTTCTCCACACAGGAGTAGTCTTCTCAACAAATGACCCACTTTCCAAGCAGATCACAGTTCTTCCTTCTCAAAAGACTTGAGAAACTTGACTGATTCCATTTGAGTTTTCAATATCCCTGCCGGGTTTGATGGACAGTGTCCTCTTTTCCCATCCTGGTCCCCATCCAAATCACTTTCAGATCCTGCTTCTCAAGAACTAAGACTCCCTGCAAAAGTAGCTTCCAGGAGACCAGGGTTCAAATCCCCCTTCTATCTTAAGACTTGCCTTCCTCCCCAGACTCTTGCGATGGGAGAAAATAGCAGAGGGACCAGTTGAGCTCTTGAGAAAAGATGCCCTATAAACCCAGACATTATAACTGCCCTCCGGGTGCCTGACCTCAGCTTCCCAAGCTGTGAATGCTGATGGGATAAACAAACCTCTGTATTTCTAATAGGGGCATTGGAGATGATTTGCAGTAACTATAACTATTACTACAACTATTAATAATAATAAGGTAGAGGTTGGTGGCCTCTTAAAATAACTGATGAAGACAGAGAAAGGAGATGAAGTCATTGGAAGAATGGAAAAATGGCATGAAGTTAAATGAAAAGGGGGTGAGATAATTATCCCCTTCCCAGTTTCCATGCGTCTCCTCTGGCATCAGTCTTCCACACGGCGGAAAATACCAAGGGCATTGATGTGCCCAGTGGAAATTTTCCAGGCATTGCAGAGTCAACAAGGCTGCCCTACTGTGCCAGGGAGCATTAACTATACCGAGGATGAATGGCAGAAATCCAGACCTTGTTGACCCCTTGGATGTGCTCAGCCCAACCCTCCCCATAATTGCCTTTATCGCACTCGTGGTTTGGAGTAGAAAAAAAACAATAAACTTTCATCTCACGGGATGCTGGAATGAGGCCAAGATGCTGATTCACACACCTGAAGCTGGAAAAGCAGCAGCTCCAGAGACGCCACCTTTGGCCTCTCTCAAGAATTGCTTTTTGAGGGCAGTTGCAAAGATTCCCCTCCAAAGAGTGTCTTTGGATAGAGAGAGATGGGCGGGAAAGAAAAGAAAGAAAGAAAAAAAGAAAGAAAGAAAAAAAGAGAGAGAAAGGAAGGAAGGAAGAAAGAAAGAACTGGGAAGGAAGGAAGGAAGGAAGGAAGAAAAGAAAAGAAAAGAAAAGAAAAGAAAAGAAAAGAAAAGAAAAGAAAGAAGGAAGGAAAGAAGGAAGGAAGGAAGGAAGGATATTCCCTGGCCAGCATGTGGGGGAAATTTAAGTTGAATGGACTTAAATTCCCAGAATTGAAGTTTGCCCATCTTAAAGTCGCCAAGTTTCAAAAACACATAATGCCCAAACTGTGTTCAATTCTTTGAAATTGCAAGTTATTTTATTATTGACTTTCACAGACCAGAAATAACTTTAATTACAGAAGCAATAACGTCACTCAGTGTCGCTTTAATTAATAGTAACTGTCCTAATGTACCAGGAGGGAGAGAATCAACATTCTTACACAAAATAAAGGAAGAAGAAAAACAAAGAATTTTTTTTAACATGATTTAAAAAAACAAGAAGAAAAAAACAAAAAATGACATGGTTAAGGATCAGGATTGAAAGGATGGTGAGCAAGAAGATTAAGATAATCCCAGATCAGCCTTAAACAGAAGAGAGATCAGATTTTTATCTTTTCATCCTATCAAAGTTGAGATGAAGCAGTGATGATGCAGTGATTTTGTGAAAAAAAAAACCACACACATATCCATGCTGCAGGTTTAAAGAGGGCTATTTTTGAAGCGAAAAGGATACACAGCTGGCAAATCTGACAAAGAACGACGTAAGTAAAATAAATCAAGAGTGTTAAGCATTACAGGCCACGTCAGTGGGGGAGGGGGATGCACAGGCAACCCCAGAATATTAATATAATCCACCACCATCTCTCCCCCCTCCCAAATTATTTTTTTAGCAAAGCTATTAAGGAAGTGAGGAGTATTTGCTCCCAACAAGCAAGCTAAAAATAATCGAAACAACATCCACACATGGATAAATGGAGACTTTCTCTATGAATGACATCTTCCATGGAAACTGATGACAGACGTCACATAAATGTAATAAAATTCAGACATAAGTCATGAAGCTATTTTTTTTTAATTTGCTGAAGATTTTAAATGCTGCTTCCATTTTCTCCCTTGCTGCTTCGCTGCATAAGAAAAATTATTTCCTGGGGGCTGAAAAACGGGATTCAAAGATAGTCCCTACCACTCAACAAAGTGGTCCCTTCCCCTTTAAAAATTCTGAGATCAACCATACATGAGGACCGTGTGGCACAATTCCACCTGGAGTGTACCACTTCATCCCACAGGAGGGGGGGCTGAAGGGGTGAAAAGCCCAGCCAGGAAGACAAGGAAATAAATCCACAATTAATTAACCTATTAGCAAGTAGAAAGCTAACCTGAAAATTCATCCCAGGCTTTGCAACATCTAGGATTTTAATTTTTCTCACTTTTAATTCCAGGAATAGGCAAGATGAATCCACCCACCCTTCTGATGAAGTGGTACACTCTCGCATAGCTTTACCACCCAGGTGCACAGAAAACGGCCCACGGACATCACCCCCCCCCACACACCCCAAATGAGTTTTGCACAATCACACCCTATTGGGCTCACAAATCGCACACCAGGTCCATTTACATTAGCACAATTAGCTTCAGAGGAAGTGTCCTGTCTGCGGAGCGGTATCTCCTTTACTCCTTGGGGACTTCAAACATGCACAGAGTTTTATATTTCTGCAGGAGTTTGTTCTTGGTTTTCACTTGTTCTCGGAGGTGCTGCAGCTGCTGGTGCTGCTGTTCGGGGCTCCGGCTGATGCCCTGCATGCTTTTGATCAGTTTGTGGGTCTCCCCAAATTTAGTTCTCAGCTCGTTCAGCAGCTGGTGGACATCCTGGCTGTCTTTATCCATGCTAAAACAAAGTAACGGGAAAGAGAATAAAAATAAATTCCTTCTGTTAACAGCCGTTATTTATATATAAGCAAGGAAGCGCTCCGATCTTTGGAAAATAATTTTTAATGGTTTTTAAAATGTCTTTTCTGATTTTTTTTTTTAAGAAGTGAGCTCTTGTCTGCACGCTTATATTTTTAAAAAATAAATAGCATCCTGGATTTTAATTCTCGTTCGCTTTGATTTCCCTTTTATTCCTTGCAAGTCACTTCGAACAGGACTTAATTATTGATTATTCATTGATTAAATTGGTTTGCTGCCCATTTTGCTGCAAGGCAGACTTTGCTATCCTTGGTGCTCTCTGTAATATGACTTCCATTGAAAAACCTCATTTTAATCATTTTCCAAATGGGTATGTTTAGAAATTCCAGCAGGTTCCCACCTTCCCAAAAAAAGTTCTCTGAATTAAGGTAGCCCATTATTCCTACTCAACCCCTCAAACCCCTCCCTCCCCACCCCTGTGCTGATGGCCCAAGAAATCATGGAGAGATGGGAGGTTAAGAAGTATGAGATATAAATAAACAAACGAACCTTGGGGAGGAAGGCAGAGAGAGAGGGAGAGAGAAAGAGTGGCTAATTGCAGAAATAAATCTCATGTTTTGAAAACAGAGAATTGTGTTCCTGCCCTGAAAGCAACTCCCACATAGTTGGAAGAAAACATTCTATTTGGGATTTTCCATTAGTGGCTGGCTGACAACCAAAGATAGACTAATAAATAGGCTTTTGCAAAGCAAGCAGCAGAAAACCCCAATATTCTGCGTCTCAGGAAGGAAACAGCTCCAGATTCCTTTTGTTGAGGGCAGCTGTGAGGATCAAAACAGGCCTTCGCCAAAGGGACCCTCCTCATCCAGATGTGCAACGGCCCTCCCTCCCACCAGCATTTAGGAACAACCTCAAAATCATCCTAGCTTTGGGCCCTGGAGCTATTCAGTGCCCCCCCCGCCCCCCCCCTGTCCATCTCATTATTTCAGCCTTGCGTTAGCCTCATTCTGATGTCCTGATTTACAGTTTGGGATGTTTTCGGTTACTGAGATGTTCGACCTCGGTTGGCTCAGACTGTGGACCACAGCTGAGTTGCTCAACCTCAGCCCTTTGAAGATGGGCAGACTTCGACTCCCAGAATTCCCCAGCCAGCATGGATCGTGTGTGCATAGATGGCATATAAAAACATTATTATAAATGTAATAATGAAAACAAGAAAAGATGGCGAGGGCAAGCTTTTGCAAGCTCAGAACAGGGCTAAGTTTAGCTCTGGACCCCCTTCCTCCCTCTAGTTGCCCAGATGTGGCAAGAGGTGGGCCCCCGCCAGCTGTGCACCAGGATGCTCCCCATCAGCTGGGCCAGAGATACCAAATTTGGGGAGCATCGGATTCAAATCCTGAAGGGGTAGAAATCTAAGGGGGAAAAGCACCAATCTCGCTGGAGATCCTCATCTCCAGTCTGAAACCCGGGGATGCGCGGGAGACCTCCTAGCCTGGAACTCGGCCTTTCCTCCATCCCTGCCCTCCAAGGTAGACTGCCCCTGTCCCCGGAGGCTCGGCGGGGCATTTACCATTTGATAATGTCGTGCACCAGGGGCAGGAACGAATAGTTCTCCAGGCCCGGGCCGGGCGGGGCGGCGGGGGGCGCGGGCTGCGCCTGGGGCGGCAGGAACTTGGAGTCGGGCGCCGCGCAAGACTGGGGNAGGGTGGACCTCTTCATCCTTTAGTTCCTTAGCCCGCTCTGGTCCACCCTTCTCTCCTTGTCTTAAAGTTTGACAAACGTTGCTTTAAGGGAACATAGTTTCCAATAGTCCACAAGGGTGGACCTCTTCATCCTTTAGTTCCTTAGCCCGCTCTGGTCCACCCTTCTCTCCTTGTCTTAAAGTTTGACAAACGTTGCTTCAAGGGAACATAGTTCCCAATCATCCACAAGGGTGGACTTCTTCATCCTTTAGTTCCTTAGTCCGTTCTGGCTGGGTTTTCCCCCTAATAGTTAAATGCCACATGTGTGCCATTATGCAAGTAGACAAGGGTGGAGCAGAGCGGGCTAAGGAACTAAAGGATGAAGTGGTTCACCCTTGTGGACTATTGGAAACTGTGTTCCCTTAAAGCAACGTTTCTCCAACTTGCCAACTTTAAGAGAAGTGGACTTCAACATGACTTCTGGGAGTTGAAGTCCAGAGTCTTAAAGTGGCCATCTTCGGGGACCCCTGTTCTGCTCCAAACAGGCTGCTAATTGGGGGCCTTCTGAGCATGCTCAGGAATTGAGGCTCCCAAGGCTGATTTCCCAACTGCAGAATCTGGAGACGCAGCCTTGACTCCAGTTAAACTTTGCTCTGCTGAGCCTGCCTTGGGATCCCTCTGCAAATTTGAACAGCCTTTGGTGGAAGAGGTGAAGACACGGGAAGGGGGAGCAATGGAGAGACCCTGCAGATCCGTAGGTTAATAAGGCCAGAGAGTGGACAGGGGAGCGCAAAAGAATCCTGTTTTTCTCGACTCTGGCAAGCTCGCTACTTACACAAACAAGACCCCCAGTCTGCTGTAACTTCAAACAGTCATGAAACAAACAGTCGTAAGTCAGGGACTTATCTGTAAGCTTATTGGAAAAACCCAAATTGGCAACGGTCATCGTGCTGGGCCAAACACAAACACACATCAGGAGGTTTTAGCCTAGTATCAAACAATTATTTTAGTTTTAGTTTGCCCGAGGCTGGACTTCTTTTGTGCTTGTGTGTTTAGCCAACAACAGGTGTTTAGGCAACAACAGCTTTTGAGTTGGACATGGAGGAGGGGAGGAAGGGCATGAACACTTAAAGGTTTATTCAGCCGTATTAGAAATAAAAACTGTTAATTGGTACACTTAGGTAGCATTCAAAGATCTTTCTTTCCCCCTACTTCAGGCCCAGAGGTGTTTTTCTTTGCGTTAGTAGCAGGCTGGCGACAGAGCAGTGATGCATCTTTAAAAAGTGTGACTGCTTTTTTACCATATGTCCTTCCAGATGCTGGAACAAAAGTGATCTAATGCATTAAATTAACAGAGAAGCCTTTCTCGTTCAGACTGTGGAAGAGTAAAAATCAGGATCCATCTTTTAAGTAATTATATTTCCCAGCTGCAGTAAAATAAGCGAGGGGCCGGGTGTTTTTTTTAATGTCTCTTCCCTGAATTGCTTCTTCATCACCAATGAATCCGATAACTGGCAACTCTCAGCATTTATTGTTGGTTTGTTGAATAGCTAGATAAGTTGGAGAGGTGTTTTTCAAAGTTGGCAAAGAAAGACAGGTGGACTTGCCTCCTGCTAAAATACTCGTGCATCAAAAGTAAAAACCAGCCACTTGGTTCATAAAGCATCCTCTCCTCTGCAAAGGTGATTTTTGCAAAAATAGATTGGCAGTATATATATATATTTTAAAAAAACACTCAATAAACCATAGGAGGTCAATAGCGATGAGAAACATAAAACCATTTGTGGCTTTAAACCTTGAAAGTTGGATCACTGCATTTTCACCTAAATGGAGATTCTCCGTCATCCAGGTCATGGTTGTCTCAAAGATGCTCTTCCAAAAGGCAACTGGACTTTCTTGTCTGTTTGTTTTTTTCCCTTGAAAATGTTTCGCTTCTCATCCAAGAAGTTCCTTCCATTCTTCAGTTTCATCTAAACAACGAGTCACGTCGGACTAATGTGCAGCCCTTCCATTGAACTGGACCGATTGCCTGGCTTCCCACATCTTTTCAAATAGCATTTCTTCAGAAATAAATTAATGTAGCGGGTTAATTGCCCTTCACCTCCCTTTCATCGGTCAGCCTGGGAAAATGTGGTTGTGTTTTGATTTTTCGTTGAGTTCCTAGCAACGTGTTTTCACTGCCTCACTGTTGACATGTGCGCTTCACTTAAACAGGAGGGTTTGGACTTGGGCCATAAACTCACTGGCCCCTTGGAAANAAAAGGTTTTGTCTCTGCTCTGCCACCCGTCCACTTGGCCCTCCCTGGGGGAGAAGATTGTGCTGGCCTAAGGCCGCCTCTTGAGGAGGGAAATTGCTCAAGCAAAACAGAGAAAATATGCTGATCTGGGCTCAGCTGGATTAGCCAAGGGTGAAATCTTACGGTTCCTTCTGGGTGAAGAACCTGCAGCTTGCTCAGAACCAGCACTGGTGGACGTGCTAAAATTGCTCTTTTAGGTTCCTGGGTGACCCAAGTTGGCACGTCGTCAAAAAAAACCACAAACAGGGTATTTGCAGAATCTTTCCTCTGAAGCCAAGACACTTGGAAAGATTTTCCATGTCATAAAAGCATCTATTTATGGCTTCCCAAATGAAAACCATCAGAATTAATAGGAACAGAGTTGATTATTTGGATGTCTTCCGCCTCCTTGCAGGCTCCGTGTGTGGTTTTCTGTTTAACTCTTTTTGTTTAAGACAGAAACCGTGGGGGGGGGGGAAAGCATTTTCTGAATTGTCCTTTGGGATTATCTGACACATGGAGAGTTTGAACAGAATAGAGCTGGAAGGGACCTTGGGGGTCTTCTAGTCTCTTTCTCAAGCAGGAGACCCTGTGTCATTTGAGACAAGTGGCTGTCCAGTCTTTTTTCAAAAACCTCCAGTGAGGTTTCTGGTGGCAAGCTGTTCCACTGGTTGATTGTTCCCACAACTTCTGGTGGCAAGCTGTTCCACTGGTTGATTGTTCCCACAAATGGCCTCGAAACGTAGTTCTGGTCTTATGTTTATGTATACAGCTAGTCCTGCACTTAACAACCATTCGTTTAGTGACTGTTTGAAGTTACAATGGCAATGAAAAAGGTGACTTACGATGTATTTCACACTTACGACCATTGGCAGCATCCTCGTATCACGGGATCAAAATTTGCACACTTGGCAAACTGGCTTGTATTTATGACGGTCGCAGCGTCGCCATTCGGCCGCCTTCTGACAAGCAAAATCCAGGCTCACTTAATAGCCGTGTTAATAACAACGGCAAGGATGCACTTAGAGAGGCCGTAAAATGGTGCAATATTCACTTAACAAATGTCTCACTTAGCAACATAACATTTGGGCTCCGTTGTGGTTGTAAGTCGAGGACTGCCTGTATAAGGAAAGTGGTAGGTCTGCTGGACCTTTGGGGAAGGTCCTCCTCCGTGCTGGCCTTTAGATCTGGCACAGGAGACTCAATCGTCTCCAGACTGCGCCAGAATTCACCATTTCCTCTACATTTTTCTCTGCCTCCTGGTCTCTGTGGGAAAACTGAGGACAAATGTCCCTTTATGTCAGCTCTGGGGAATGAATCAGCCAGGAAAGGCACTTCTGGAGAACGCCTGTGGCTCTGTTTAACTCTGCCCTCCGCGTCTTGAGCCTCCCGGGGGCGAGGAATGTGGCTCCTCCGTCCATCAGGTCAGCCTCCCTGGCCTTCCGAGCTGAGATGACGTATTTCCCAGCCTGCTTTGGAAGCTCAGAAACCGCGGCCGACCACGGTTCCTCTCCGACTTGGCCACCTTTTCGTTCTTGCCAGGAGCCTCTGGAGAAAGTGGCATGACAACCGACCCAGGGAGAGGTGTGTGTGTGTGTGTGTGTGTTTGCTTGAGCGTTCAATTTATTAGTTGCCCTGTCACAAACTGTTCTTCAGGGGGGCGAGAACACTTTGTTATAAAGCCAACCGGCCGACAAGGGAAGGCAATGAAATGCAAGGACATGAGATCAAAGGGGAGGGGGAGGGGAAAGAGAGAGGGGAGGGAGGGAGGGAGGGAGTCCTGCTGAAAAAGCAAAGCTAAAAAAAAAACCCCCAATGCAGGTAGCAATTGCTGCAAGAGCTAAAAAAGGGTATGCAAGGAATAAACTGATTCTGAGACATGCTTCCAGAAGCCGGATTTATCTAATTATACCCTTATCCCATGAGGATAAAGTAGCCTTGTTTGACATGAAAAGAAGAAAAGAAAAGAAGAAAAGAAGAGAGGAGAGGATAGAAGAAGTAGAATAGAATAGAATAGAATAGAATAGAATAGAATAGAATAGAATAGAATAGGAGAGGAGAGGAGAGGAGAGGAGAAGAGAAGAGAAGAGAAGAGAAGAGAAGAGAAGAGAAGAGAAGAGAAGAGAAGAGGCATTAAGACCAGCCAAACCAACTTCCAGGGTGTATTGTTGGCTGTTGAGACCTTCACACAATGCTGCAAACAGGAAACTGGAAAACAGTGAAACAAAGGAACATGTGAAGTTGCCTTATTTGTCTGACCACAGTCTCTTTTCCTCTTGGCTCTACACAACGTGTAAAGTGAACTGGTTTTGCACCATGCAACTGTGTGCAAAGATCACCTCAACAACAGCTGTAAAACAAGTGTGCAACGTGACCCGGCCACACCTTAGAGCAGTGTTTCTCAACCTTGACAATTTTAAGGCATGTGGACTTCAACTCCCAGAATTCCACAGCCAGCATTGCTGGCTGTGGAATTCTGGGAGTTGAAGTCCACATGCCTTAAAATTGTCAAGGTTGAGAAACACTGCCTTAGAGGTTTGCACTGAACAACCAGCACCGAGAGCCAAAAATCTGAGATGTGCTACTTTTGGCACACATTCCAGCTGCTTCTGAAAAGCCCCGGGTGGCCAAAACCTGTGTTAAATTTACATTCCTTTACATTTAAGTCATTCACTTTAAATACGTGTACAGGGAAGTCCTTGGCTTACGAGCACCACCGGGACCAGAATTTCCATGACTAAGCAAGGCTTAGTTGTCAAAT